TTCATCTGTAGAATAAAAAAAACATATTTCCGATAATTCTAGACAAATAAGCTTAATACTGCTTTTTTTTTACAATTGACATGACTGTGAAATGTAGCAAAGTGATTTTTAACGAAGTTTTTGTTTGATGTTTTTTCTATGAGCTCACTTCATACATGTACACACACACACACACACATATATATATATATATATATATATATATATATATATATATATATATATATATATATATATATATAGAAATTACATATGTATATGTCCAGGAAAAAATATTCTTCTAACAAAAGTATTTTCATTTGAAAATGATATAAACATTGCGAAATGACTAAATTTGACCTCGTGACGTATAGGACACATGTTTGGGCTAAAAACCAAACCTGTCTTGTCTATCGATCTCTCTGTAGAGATAAGCTCATATATATATATATATATATATATATATAATTTATTTTTAATCGTTGATTGTTTATTGCAACATTTTATTATTCACATATAAAAAGAAAGAAATGGGGGGATATTATATTTTGGTTGCTGTCAAAGACTGGTCTTAGAGTTTGGTAAATCATTCTGATTCATAAAAAAAAGTATACAAAACAGATAAGTATATAATATAGATAAATATAAATCAGTGGGTCGGACAAAATCCTGTTTGAAATCCAATCAGTTTTTGTATCTTTAACGATCACTTTTTTCTAAGTTTTTGATTAATCTATAAACAATATATCATTTTCATTTTGATTTATCGTAGAATTATATATATATATATATATATATATATATATATATATATATATATATATATATATATCATAATCTATGATGTATAATTTGATATATTCTTGGCAATTAATGAATGATGCTAGGATGGTTTAATAATAAACCCATGTATCGGTTCTATAGATATTTTAAGCTTATTTACGATAAATGGGAAGTGTATGCCAATCATCGTACTAAGTATAGCCAACCTGCCTGCCTAGAAAATCTGCACTCGAAACCTTAGTTTGAATACCGACTTCTGGGACTGGTTGAAAGTGCAACTATCTCAGTCATGAGGCAATTATTCTATTAGTTCAATTTTCCTTCTTTCTATCAATACGTTTCTTCACACTTTACCAATGCCAGTCAGTCCCTTCGACTTGTATCAGTTTAAAGATTTATCTGATGTCGCTTAGATGGACAATGTCTAACCCAATGTATAGGAGAACAAGCAACCAAATGCCAGAAAAAAACTTGAGACAAACATTCCATTTTTGTCATTACATTTTCATTTTTTTCCGTAAAATCAGCGATCTTTTTTTTTTTTTTTACAAGCACATGATTTTGTCAGTTACATTGAATAGTATGAAAAAACTTTAATCAGTTTCTCGATAATCGCTTCCTCGGGTTTTTTTTTTTAACTTTTAAACAATCAGTAATAATTAGTAGCATAGGGATTCATCTTTCAGGCACACTTCTCCCTTGAACAGAGAAAAGTATAGTCTGAAAATGTGAAAATAATCTTCTGGCACATTCTGCCCTTCCTCAGCAGGCTCCTCTAATAATTAAATAATTTTCTAACATCGTTTCCACCCACTCAATGCAAGTAAAAACAAAGGAAAAATGTAAAATATTTATCACCTAGCTTTTAGTTCATTGATTACAAAAACGAGGAAAAGATAATTGATTCTTAACATGATTATTTCAGGTCTGATTTCATACGAACTTTAATATAAACTAATTACGCTTATACCAGTGATGCAAACCTAGAAAGACATTTTGAAGACACGACGGGAAATTATTTCTAATGACAGACTAGTGAATTCTTACCAGTAATTAAAATCTTTTTTAACTTCCATGCGACAACCTAAAATAGTAAGATCGATAAAAAAAAAAGAAGTCATATCACAAATAGATATAATCTTACTCACTTTTCGAATAGCGTCGTTGTTCCAAGGGGCGCGTCATATATTTAGCACATAAGCATAGGCAAAAACTGCTTTGTCTTAGTCATTTAATGAGCCGCACATACTTGACATTAAAATTGTAACTTTCTCTGTCCAGAACTAACTCCAATTTTATTTTGAAACTATCATTGATTTTTTACTCGAGTTTAAAGTCTGATTTTTTCCCCTTCAGAGATTATCTGGCAAAGATTGATTTAATACTGAAGGGTTAATATTGGGCCTCTAATCAAGCAGTCCTATGCTCTTAAATTCTAATCACACTAGCCTAAAATTTAATCTAATTTGTTAAACATTTATTTACCACTGTGTTGTACGCAACTTTAGGGCCACTCAAAAAAAAAAAAAACCTACTGGTTATTTTCTTATCAAAGTGTCATGTTTGACAGTATGAACAAAAAAAAACATGGCATTAGTTTTCTTCAATGTGTTTCTCCCGACAGACAAACAAAACATCCATGTTTACTCACATACACACGTGAAGAAAATTTATTTCTACACACACACACTCATGCACACACATACATACACACACACGCGCGCCCATTTACATATATAGGTAAAACTTGAGTGCATATGAATATATATATATATATATATATATATATATATGCAGTAATGCCTTGAGATCCAATCCGTTTTTTGAGATACGAGCCTCAGTTCGGCGGATTTCTTGCTTTGAAATACAAACTGAATTTTGAGATACAAGCGTTTCCGTTAAGTATCTGTGAGTTGGTTTAGCGAGCTCCCAACTTCGAGAGTATTTCATTACAATCTGTTTTTGTTTTTTTTTTTATTTTATTGTTTGTAAACAACATTTTTTGTTTATTCACACATTTTTGCTTGTAAGAAACCCACAAATACAAAAATAGGGTGAGTTTTAGAAAAATAAGGGTGATTTTTAGGGGTCTGAAATGGATCGGAAATATCCCTTTAATATATATATATATATATATATATATATATATATATATATATATATAAACTACATATGCAGATATATACATACAAAAGGATATTGTTGTCAGTGGAACTGTTTTTGATGACGTTGATACTACTATGACCAGCGATTTGTTAAGTTCGGCCTTATTATTTACAAGATACAAATGTTCATGCATCACCGGTTACATTTATAGGAGGTAATTTTAAAAGCATAAACATTATGTAGGTCAAACTGTACGCCCATTTCATCATTAACTAACGTTTTCAATGAGTTGTGTCAAATAGTATAGTTTGTTACTATAATTATTTTAGCTTTATTTACTTCACATTATTAGTGCTGTAAGGATTGACTCTGGACTGGATCGATAAACTCTTCGATCGCTGGATCAGACAATAAGAAATCACACACACACACACACACACACACACACACACACACACACAAAAACAAAAAAAAAAAAAAAAACAGCTTCCGACGCAATGTCTTTGTAACAGAGATAATTAAAAATAAATATTTTGAAAATCGTTAATCCTAGTTTTGTACGGCACACTGTCAAAAATTGTATTTTATATTTATTACCTCAAACGTTAATTTTTTTTTGTGGGGGTGGATACTCGTATTTAAGTAGACGCCCCGTTTGTTTTAAACAGTATCTCGTCTACCGGTCTGCGTACTTAAGAGAACTTCATAAAGAAAATGAACCTCCATCAGGATATCCTTTATTAAGTTTTCTAGAGCAGTGGTCGCCAACCGGTAGTCCACTGACTATTGGTGATCTGTGCAAAATTTTTGATGGTCCGCAGAAAAATTGGGGCATTATTTCAATTTTTATGAAGTTTCAGATTAAAAAATGACGAGTAACAAAACCTATTATGGATGGCATATATGTTCAAGACCTTAATCTCGAAATAAACACGAGTACGCAAGTTCACAAATGTGACATAATCCAACCCATATTATAACTTAACATGACTTAAAGGCTTCAAATTTTGAATTTGTTTTATTTAAATAATTACACTATAACTTTGTTACCTTTAATGGGTGCATTTCATATTAATAAAATAAAAGTTTACCGATTATTATTATATAAATGTATTTACATTTTTTTTTCTAAATTCATATTAGTGATCCGCCATATTTAAAATTATACATTTAGTGGTCCATGAAGTTCAAAAGATTACCCACTGCTGGTCTAGAGTACATATGCCGGTAGACGAACTAAATATTGTTTACAATAAACGGAGCGTCTACTTAAACACGGGTATTCACTAAAAATAACGTTCGATGTAATAAAAAATATTTCGGATTGAACAATAAAATCCACTAATTATTTAGAAATTGTTATTTCACATATAAATGTATCTAACAAATTAATTCTTTTGCTTTATCATTACAACAACAAACATGACTGATTATATTAGCCGTTTTTTTTCCTGAATAGTTCTAATTCTCTAAATTGTTCGGTTGTATTTTTTTTTCAATCAGGTATTATCGATTGCGTTTATTTTCTGTTGTATTTTACTTATATACAAGCATCAATATGCTTATATACAAGTATATATATATATAGATAGATATATTTATATATACCTCCAACTGATATTTTTTTATTTAATGTCCAATTATTTTTGTTAACTATCATTCACAACTATACATATATGTATACATTCTGAGCTTATACATATACATACACACACGCATACACACATATATATGCATACGTACGAACACACACACGCAAACATAATATATGTATATAAATATCGAAACATATATTTATATATATACTTATATATGCATGTATGTACACATATATATATATATATAAGATATATATATATATATATATTCATGTACGCTTATTATAAGGCTGTCTATATAAATTTATCTATCTAAAGGACTATCTATAAGTATATTAAAACCTATATTATTATTACTTTTTTTACCTGAAGACTATATGTTAACTATTTTGATAGACTTATTTGAATATTTATCTAAGTTTCGATTGCTAAAAGACTTACTGAAAGTATAATGTATATATATATATATCATACCCTATTACGAAATTATCAATTGATAATTCTATCTGTTCAGCTATCTTACAGTCTGTCTCGATGTCTGTCAATATCTCTACTAGTCAACAGGTCGGTCGGGCCCACAATCTATAAACCGTTGATATAAAAGTCACAAAACATTATCTTGTGGATCTTTTTGTAACGACTGGCCTAAGAGTTTGGGCGTTATTTTATACCAGTAATTATTATGTAATGGTATGCTGTTCTGTATTAGTGTTTCTGACCTATCAGCTTATTAAATGAAGTAAATATACGAAGGTTATCTTTTCACAGTTATTGCAATTGTTTTCCCAGTCTATCAGTCTGTTTCTAACCCAGTCTTTTCTTATCTCCCGATTTCCGTGTGTTCATATCTATCTATCTATCTATCTATCTATCTATCTATCTATCTATCTATCTATCTATCTCGAACAGTCTGTCTGTCTGTCTATCTATCTCAGTTCTTATCTCTCGTTTTATGTCTGTTCATATCTATCTATCTATCTATCTATCTATCTATCTATCTATCTATCTATCTATCTCGAACAGTCTGTCTATCTTTCTATCTCAGTTGTTATCGCTCGATTTATGTCCGTTCATATCTTTCGATCTGTTTCTATCTATCTATCTATCTATCTATCTATCTATCTATCTATCTATCTATCTATCTATCTATTTCTGTATCTGTATATCTATTTTTCTGTCTATCTCAGTTCTTATCTTTCAATGTCTGTATATTAATACCTATCTGTCTGTCTGATTGTCTGTCGGTCTGTCTATATCTGTATATCAATATTTTTGTATGTCTGTCCCAGTTCTTATCTCTTGATTTCTGTCTGTCCATCAATGTATCTATCTGTCTGTCAGTCTGTCTATTTATCCGCGCTTTATATATATATATATATATATATATATATATATATATATATATATATATATGTACTAATATGTAGATTTTTATTTAAACATGCGATTGTATTTTTTTTCCTTTGTTATTGTTTATTTTATCACCAGTTTCCTAAATTCAGTTTATCGTTATTTTATTACAACGGTTCGGCTATCAGTCTGTTTGTCATTTTATCTTCCAGCCTATCTATCTATCTATCTATCTATCTATCTATCTATCTATCTATCTATCAGAGTGGACGACAGTCTCTGTCAGTCAATTTGTCCTGTTGTCGAATGCGTGGAACGTCTCTGCATGATACTTCGCAACCAAGTAAACAAAAAATAACTGGCAATTGTTTTTTAACCCCGGAGAAAAAGTTTTTTGGTTATGTAAATGATGTGTTCTATATCATCTAATTGTTCACTTATTATAATATTACAGTGTCATTGTAATATATATATATATATATATATATATATATATATATATATATATATATATATATATATATATATATATATATATATATATATATATATATATATATATATATATATATATATATATATATATATATATATATATATATATATATATATATATATATATAGATGTTGTAATGTAATGTCCATGTTATTTATTATTATCAACTATTTCCATATAAATTCGATAGCAAAAAATAGGAATCGTTTTTTCTTTTTCTTTATTTTATTGATTTATTTTATTATTTATTCATTATTATTCTTTTATTATTATTATATTTATTATTATTTTATTGCTACTAAGTTTAGAATCGTACAGTACAAAGCTACAAGTATGAAGCACCCAGTGAGGATCCCTAATTTTACATTCTCTAGCTTAATAGCCATTACTCCACGGTGTGGTGCCCCATAAATTTGCTTTCTTTTATTACGACTAGCTAAAATAATTATACTGCTTAATTAAATTTGGCTGCATCGTATCTTTTGGTGGGGTGGGGATGGGGGGTTCCGTCATTTTTTGATTTGTCGTAATTTTGTCATTTTTTTAAATTATTTTTTATTGTTTTTTTTTTAAGATACTTTTTGTCAATTTTACGCTTTTTTTATTTCGTTTCGTTTCATTTTATGTTATTTTTATGTTACCCGGCAAGACTAAACCTTTAATGAGATAGAATTATGAAAAGAATTGCTGCATTTATACTTAAATTAATATTTCAAACATGATCACCATTATAAATATTTAAGATCAGATGGAAAACAATCTTAACGAAGCGAATCATTTTAAATATCTTTTTTCCAAAGTCAGGTATTTATTTCTCGTGGCTAATGCCACTATGCCACTTGATACTATTAATTTTCTTTGTTTATATAAATGTCTATTATTTGAAAATATATAATTAAATTGTAACTAAAAGTAGAAGCGAAGAATGTGAAACGTTAAAAGAAAACATAATCGAAGAAAGATTAATAAAAGCTAATGACGGCCAATATTATCAAAATCAAACGATCTGGCTGGCAATGGCGCTCAGAGTTCGAAATCTCGTCACATCACGCAGTTGACGTGATGACGCAATTACTTCGCATCTTCATCTAACGTAACATCTATTTCTCCTGTAGCTAAAGAAAGTTGAAGGTTAATAAATAATTGTAGGGATGTCTTTGCAAACATGAACATTTTGATAACAATTTACTCTTAAATAACTAATAATTTGCGTAACAGTAGACATTTATCGTTTCTTTTCAGTAGTGTTCTCTGTTATTTTCCAAGCACAGCTTACCTGTTTCATTAATTGTGATATTAAAACTGTAATGAAACATACAGCAAATGGAGCTATTTTTGCATTACAAATGTCTCACTAGCGAAACGGGTAAATGATTAACATTCTTTATTTAAAAATTAATATCTAACTGAATTATCAACGGAAAAAAAATGATTTACTTATTGAACAAAATTGTCAAGCAAATAATAAAAAAAATTAACTATTTATTATACGAAGACTGTCTAGATTACAGAATTAAAAGCAATAAATAAATATTTATTTTGTTTTCGTCTATTTTACCTTCATAAATAATTTGGATATGTACACGTTTCGTATTTTAAAATATCTAGTTAGTAATATTCAAAACAGTTTTGCTTCAACAAATTCAATGAATGTATTTACCATGCATGATTAAAGGTTTCACTTTCACTGCATTCTGTGCCGGAAGTGTGTTTAGAATTTAAATTCTTATAAAATATGAGGCTCATTGATAATCATAAAGCAAGTAGTTACGATTTTTTATAGATATCTGAATAAAATCTATTTGCAATGAAGTTTTTAAAAGATCTTTGTACATTAAATGTATATTTTATTATATAAGAAATGTTATTCAATAAATCTATTACCTACACAACCAAATAAATACTACAGTATTATTTACGCATTATTTTATTTACTATACATTTTATTTACATATATGGTTGCAGTTTGGCATATATAATTATTTTATTAAATCTGCTGTGATTTTTTTTTGTTATAGGGCTCTTAAGTGAAGTATATATTAATTGTATGAAAAAAAAAACCTCAGTAGCTTTTTTTTTGTAGAAGATACCTTGAAAACTAAGACCTCAACTGGGATAATTCGTTTTTACCTGTAGAAAATTCACATGTAAGATACAAACAAGGTAGCAGGGATACATTGCAGATTGTTTAGTTGTCAATACTAACCAAAAGGAATCGACTATCTACCTGTATAAGCCAGCTTATCCGCCTACTTGTGGATGATGCTTCATAAGCTTAAAGATAGTAAATAAACAGTATATCCAATACCTTGCCGGTAAGAAATAAATGTACGAACATCGCTGTTTTTATAAGGAAAACTTTAGCAACAACAATAACAATAAACATACAAAAACAGCCTCACTCACACAGACATTTTAAAAAAAATGGAATGTTGTCTCAAGAAAATATTAAATATATTAAAACAGATGTTACTACTGGCTAGTTTAAAATTCCCCCAAAACACAAACTCCCACACATTTTACTCACATTTTAAATTGGAAGTATTAAAATGGAAGAGTCTTTCTGGGTCACAATCATTGTGTTGTCATGAAACGTGATAGCGAGAGGACCGTGGACATTGTCGGCGGCTGTGAATAGTTCCGAATCTAGAGTCCCGTCCTCTGTCAGTCGATATATTTTATCTGTATCTGTGTCGGCGATGTATACATATCCATCCCGTCCGTACTTGATGGCGCGCGGCGTCTTGAGTTTTATACCATTGAGTGGTTTGAAACTAAAGCTGAATTCACCATCTTCTGGAAGACCGATTAAGTATGTACCACAACTGTCGGACACGTAGATGACGCCATTGTCGCCGACAGTCAAGTATTGTGGGAAAACAAAGAATTCGAGTCCCACCTCGTTGTACTGGACGGTGCGCAGGACCTTTCCATTTGGGGTAAGCAGGTCTATTCCTTGTGTGCATGAACAGACTAGGGTCTGGTTTTTAGTGACAGCAATGCCCCAATATCGACGTGCTGTCGATACTAACCTAACGACGATAAGACGAGAACCATGGGATAGTAATGAAATTTGTTTGGCATGGGGTACCGTACAGGCGACAATACTCTCACTCATTAGGGCAAGTCCCCACGGACCTGATGTAAAGGTAACACGGTCACCGGGCAAACCAGCCGTAGAGAACATTTGGACGCAGCAATTGCTCCAATCAGACACGATATACTGACCATTCTTATTGCAAACAATATCTGCCAACCAACTACGGAAGTTCTGGTCAGCCTGGAAGGGACCGCCTGTAAATAATAGATTCTGTAATGAGCTCTTTGTACAGACATTTTCCAGTTCAAATGGCGTGTAAGTACCTATTGTTTTAGTACTCGTCTCCAAGCTCTGTAGGATTGCACGGGCCTTGCAAGTTGTAAGTGCTTCCGGGTCAGGTTCTTTAAGAGGGAAGCCTTCTTTGTTAACCTTACAAGAAGGATCAACCGGGCGTTTATCGTTAATCTTAACGCGCCTCGGTTGCTTTCGGCGAGTATTTTCAACGGGAGACTCGTTTTTCTGCAGGCTTGCGTTGATGTTCGGATTCTTCTTCGTGTCTTTCTCCTCGCATGGAGGCGGCGACGGTTGACTATTCGGCCGAGCCCCGCTTGTGTCTTCATTCTGCTGGCTACCAAGCTGGTTTCTGGTGGCTGTGTTTGTAAGGTTAATTTCATTAACACCGTGTGAAGATGTCTTTTGTATATTCTCATCTGTTTCGACTGTGATAGTGCTCGTACTGTCGGTGACCGGAGGACTTGAACAATTATCAAAGTTTAGCCGTTTTGCAACAGAAATATCACCCGAGTCGTGAGGCTTTCCGCCTTCTCGTTTCTCGGCACGTTTGCTAGAATCTTTGGACGACGAGTTTGCGTTGCATTTGTTACTCACTCGGTCGGCGGCTTTAGAGTCCCATTCAGGTGAATCAGGACTTGAAAGGGTCACGCGACTGTGACGAGGAGGACTAAAAGTGTTGGGTGTTTCCTGGTAAATAACAGGCGTATTTTCGATTTTCTCAAACGTTGTGAAATTCTTTTTTGGGGACGCGGTAGTGGGTTGGGTGTCTTCTTTTCCACTCGTTCGTCGAAATTTCTGCTTATGGCTACAAAATGTTTGATCGGGACTCGGGTTGTCGTTGCCATTGCTACTGTTACAGTCAAGGCTATCCGGACTGATCGATCGACGAAAATCGTCCCAGGGCGCAAGTGGAATTGAGGAGGGAAAACTGTCTCTCGGAGACATGATGTGGTTGGTAACATCGTAGTCATAGTCGTCGTTGTCTTCGTCGTTAATGTACGCGCTGCTGGTGCTGCACACAGTTGCTGTTTCACTGCTCGTTTCGCATGTCATGTTCCCGTGGCAGTCGTCGTTTTCCACGTCGGTCCTACAGCTATTAGTGACGTTTGTGTCGTCGTCGTCGTCGTCGTCGTCGTCTTGGTCCACGTTGTTGTTACTCGTATCTTCACTGTTAATATCGGCGTTGTTGTAGTCAGTGTACTGGTTGGTTTTCCACTTTCCAGTAATTTTGGCATCCGGGGAGACAACATTGGTAGAGATATCACATGGGCTGTGTCGAAAAGAATCAGATCCGTTATGTTCACGCTCCCACGGACTGAGATTTGATATGATTTTGGGACTTGGGCTAAAAAAACCGCTGTCATTCGCTGGTGTTTGAATGATGTCGGAAGTGTTTTGAACATTATTATTATTTCGAGTGTTGATGTCAGATTTTTGTAGCGTTGGACTGTAAGACGTATTGTCGCGAGAAATGTGTGTTGATTCATTAAATTCTTTCTTGTTTGAGGTAAACTGGTCCTCGTTTTGC